TTTTTTTTTTTTTTTTTTTCTGCATTTACGATCATTAAACGAACATTAGGAATAATGGTGATTCAAAACAGAGATTGAGAATGCGAATTTTGCTTTTTGTTGCAGGTTAACTGAAATGAACAGTAAAGAATACTTGGAGCAACATGCCGAAGCTATGGCAGAGAAGGATAACGAGAAAGCCTTACATTCTTGAATCGAAAGAAGTAGACAATTTGTTGTTTGTATAATTATGCAATCAGAAGAGTAGGCTGAAAGCTGATTGATATTCCTTATTGAATTAGAATAAATGATCTCTGTATGAGACTATGGAATCTCATTGGGTAAATTTTTCTTTTTGCTGTAATATAATGTCAGTGTAATGAGTAAGAATTTTGCTTTGCTGCAAAGATTCATGTGTGTGTTTGGTCAAAAATTTATTATTTATTCATTAGAGGTGATTGCTGGTGATGTCGAAGTACTTTATATGTTGGTTTGAGTATTCTTTCTTAATCTGGTTGCAACTTGAAATTATGTGATCACTTTTCATGCTAGGTTTCGTATGAGGAAAGGCAACACATCTTTCTTTCTGGTAATATACAACTTGAAAAGTCTTGCATGTTTGACGCAGATTTTTGGGAAACATATTCTGGTAATATGGACGACGATTTTCTGAAATTCGGAACGTTGATGTTGTCGGGGAGAGTTACGACACAAATCGGATCACTTTTCTTAACCAATCACCTTTTTTTTTTTTAACTCAACTCTACTATGATCAATATAATAAAATAATACAACTCAAGCATTTTTATACATTACAGCAACTTTAATTTACTATTCATGCACTCACATAATTTTAACTAATTATAACTTTACATCATCTATCTCCTACTTTTACATCAAATCAATTTCGATTATTTTAATTTAAAATCAAAATCGTACTAACAAATAACTATACAATTTTTTTAAATTAACCCTACTAAACCAAAAAGTCCAATCAAAATCAAAACTATGTTATATCCAATCAAGCATCCTCTTAAATCTTGTAAATAACATCTAAAAAATAGGAATTATGCAACGCTAACGCACTTACTGTTAAAAGAAAGCATGCAACGTGTAAAATCACCAGCTAGCCTAGGTAGTTTACCTTATTCAGCAGTATAATAATGAATGAATATGAACAATACGATTAATTAATCAGACGCATATTCTTATTCGCAATTGAAGCAAGCATCAAGAATGAGATTACTCAGTCTCGGGGAATAAGATCGCACGTCCGGCGCATTATCGCTTTCTCTCTCCACCTAACGGCCTGATTGCTTCGCCGGCGACCATCCGGCGGTCGGCTGAAAAAGGTAACCTACAGTGTCTAATATCTCAGAATTTTCTTTTCATATCGATTTATTGAAGATCACTGATTGTGAAATCCGGATTCTTCTGCGGGAAACGCTTATTAAATTGCGATTTGATGACCGTGGAGGATTGAAATTGGCGTTCGTCGGCGATGATTTTTTCAATCATCTGAATGCGGATTTTTTCCGTAGAAAATCCGAATGCTACAGCCTTCTGCAAGGGTGTGCGTGTAGTTACATTTTATTTATGTTGTGTTCATGATCGTGTTAGGTATTTCGCTTTACAAAATTTTACGAGACATGTTGGCTAAGGAGTGGTATGTTTTGGTCTTCTATGTTCTGGGATTTAAGTTCATTGCGCTTAGTTTTTTATCCGGTTTTGATTTAGTTGTTTACGACATTATTTTGTTATCTATATGTGTACATATTTATGTTGCATATTGTATCGAATTCTAGATTTCGTATTCGGAACGACATTTCACGCAGTTTCAGTTTTCGAGTTTTAATTGGAACTCAAGTGAATAGTTTAGAAGTTAAAGGCATTTACTTGGCATCTTTGTACTAAAACAACCATGAATTCGTTTATAAATTGTTGTTCCGAGTGAATTTCCAAACCAGTAGACAGACTGCAAGTTAAGATAATTGTTAGTTACTCAAACTCAATTGCAGTGGACACCTTATAAATGACAGAATCTCCAATGTAAGCATGATTATGAGGCTTAGGAATTATTAGCATATGGAAGTCAATCTCTGTCTAACAAATAGTGAGGTTTGGTATGACGATGCTAGTGTTCAATGAACCAGCTAAGAATGTGTGCGACTATTTATGTATATGGGTGACGGAGTCTGTAAACTTAAACATCATTTTCTTATTGATGATATACCCTCAAAATTCAGCTGTTTGCACTTCTTGTGACTTGGTTCCTCCAGAAATGGCTGCTGGAAGTAGCAGCCAACAAAACTTCAGAAAAGCTATTGGAGCTATTAAAGACTCTACATCAGTTGGCCTGGCCAAAGTCAATAGTGAATACAAGGTAAAATTATCCACACAAATAGGTCGAGATTCCTTTTCCTTACAAGGTTTTATGTATTATCTTGTTTGTTCCAGGATTTGAATGTTTCTATCCTTAAAGCCACAAACCATGTCGAAGTCTTGCCGAAAGAGAAGCATGTCCGAAGTAAGATGAACATTTTATTTTCTTCAGAAATTTGTAGGCAACCTCATAATTTGGCATTTTCCCATGGGATTTGAAAGCTGAATTCCTTCTATTATGAATTGTGATAGATGTGATTGGGTAGAATTCATCCCAAAAGCTAGTTTAAAGGGAGAGAATGCCCAACACACATGTACATAACAACAGCCCACTAACTAATCGATGTGGGACAAACATAACTATTATCACTCAACATCACCTCCAAATTAAGATCATAGATACTTTGCTACAATGATAAATGGCCCTGGGTGGAACTCATCTCTGAAAGCTAGCTCAAAGGGAGAGGGTGTCCAACCCACACTTATACATAATAACCCACTTACTAATAGATGTTGGACAAAATTAACTTGTAACAAAAATAAATGTAACTAAATAGTTCTCTTCTTTTGCCAGTTATTCTTGGTGCAGTTTCTGGTTCAAGGCCTCGAGCAGATGTTTCTTTCTGTATACATGCACTCACAAAGCGTCTGGCAAAAACACGTACTTGGGTGGTAGGCATCCCAACCTTCTATTTTCTAGTTTGAGCCAAATAAGTATGTAGAAAGGTCATCAAATTTCTAATTCAGAAAGATAGATGCTTTATAAAAATGAACTCAATGCTTGAGGTCTGTCAGTTCCTTAACATACAGATGCCTTGTCTCATATTTTAGGTTGGCTGAAGGGTTCTCATGTTCAATAACTCGAAACAAGTGTCTTAGTATATCTTGATAGTCTTTTTAGTTGTTTAGCATTACTCTATTTTCATCATTTGTTCTACTGTCAGTTTTTCCCAATTGTTTTACTTTCATCTCCTAGGGAATCTGAGTTTTTTTAGTTAAATCCTGGAATCATGGTCATTTTCGGAGGTCACGTAACACATATAGTAACTAGTTGTGTAAACACGCCCCTAATAATTCTTCCATGCCAACAGATCTTAGTTTTAAGCTATCAATCTTTTTCAGATAACAGTTTAGAAAACAAAAGGTCCGGTCCAATTAAGAAGATAAATTGTTGACTGTTCTGCCTATATCCTATTTCCGTTTTTCTTTGGATCCTATCTTGTAAATTCATTGACCACAATTTTTTATAGTGTTGTACATCTTTGAGAACTTGCAGATGGCACTTCCAATTTCTCATTTTTCCATGCTATCATGTATAGGCTAAAATGCATGTTTTTTTTTTTAAAAAAAAAAAAATTTTCGTCTTGGTATAATGTTACAGAATATTGGAGATTGTTTGTCACATGTTACATCATAATGTAATATAAAGCTGGGACATTACACAACTAGACAGTTAATCATTATTCAGCCAAAATTGGTGGTTTGTTTTAACTATTTCCTCTATGGTAAATTCAGCGACTCGATTACTTCTTCTTACTAGATGCTCAACCCACAGATCACTGTTTATTGAGTATTTTCATATCCCTTGAACAAAATTTAAATTTGGTTCTCAGGTTGCATTGAAAACTTTGATCGTCATACATCGTGCATTGAGGGAAGTTGATCATTCATTTTGTGAGGAATTAATTTTCCACAACAAAGGCAGAGGTCATTTGTTGAACTTACTGCATTTCAAGGATGACTCGAGCCCTAGTGGTATTCCCTGTTCTTTTACTTATAAAAGTATTACTTCCTTTGGGGAACTAAAAAGACTCGTTTTGAGCGGATATATTTGTATCCAAGCTCACCAATTAAGATTCAATGTTTTTCAGCGTGGGATTATTCCGCTTGGATTCGTTCATATGCTCTGTATATCGAGGAGTGCCTAGAATGTTTTTGTGTGCTGAAATACGATTTTTACAGGGATCATTCGGTATGTATTCTTTTTGTGTGGAAAGCGAAAATTATTTACTATTCTCATTTTATAGTTTCTAGATCTGACTTTGCAAGTATATTAAGAGTTGAATGGGCACTGTTCTGTTTTTTCGGGTACGTCATAAGAATATAATATGGTTCATTTCTGGGCTAGGACAACCTCTAGCAACATTTTCCATCATCATGGCAGGTCTATAAGCACTGTGATGACCTTGGTAATAAGCTAACTGTTATTTTTACAGAGAACAAAGAAGCTCGACACGCCTGCCTTGTTCGAGCAGCTACCTGCTTTGCAGAACCTTCTCTTTCGGCTTCTTGGTTGCGAGGTATTGAAAATGGCAGTTATCTAGTCGGGTTTCTATGTACATTTGTAATTGTGCATATCTCTACTGTCCATTTGTTCAACAGTCACAAAAAATATATTAATAAAAGTTAATTGTCTGGCATTGGTGCAGCCACTTGGAGCAGCCCGGCATAATTTCATGATACATTTTGCCCTTTCGATTGTGAGCAGCTGTTGACATCTATTTCCGTATAATAATAGCTTAATTTACTCACAGCCTCTTTCGTTCATTCTAACAAATTTTTTACTTCAGGTCGCAGCAGAAAGCGTGAGGCTTTATGTGGCCATAACAGATGGAGTACTAATGTTGGTTGACAAGGTTCGAACTTTGGATTAGTTTCATTTTTTTTTTTCTTTTTATTCTTTTTGTTTATTCATTAAAATCAATTATGTTTTCTTGAGAATCCGCAACAACATTTATGCTTAAAACAGTTTTTTGAGATGCAACGGCGAGATGCTGTCAGAGCACTTGAAATCTATCGAAAGTCCGGAGAACAAGTATGCTATTTATTTATTTATTTATTTATTCTGGAATTCTCTCTTGCCAATATGTACACCTCTTGATAACACATGTTGATACAGGCCAACAGGTTGTCTGAGTTCTTTGAGATGTGCCGGGGCCTCGAGTTTGGGCGAAGACAGAAGTATGTCAAAATCGAACAGGTTGAAGACCATATACATAACTGAGCATTATAATTCACTTTTTCAGTTCCTTATATCAATGCTTCTCTTGCTTGCAGCCCCCTCCATCGTTTTTACAATCCATGGAAGAGTACATAAAGGATGCCCCACAGACGCTAATGCTACCTTGGACAAGTGTAAGTAATAATACAAAAATGAGAAGTAATCCACACTGTCATTGTGAACTAGACATCATAATGGTTAAGAGTTCCATTCTTATATGTATGCATTACCTAAAATGATGCTCTTACTATTCAAACAATGTACACGTAATTCATTTTCCTGCCCTTGCCAACATAATTACAATGTGAAGGAACCAATTAATACGAATCAACTTTACTTCTGATAAAACGGAGAACTGAAGGAGTGACCCTTAGGTTTAGCTTAATTACTAAGCGAATTATTGGTCTATAAAATAACAGAAGAACCCCTCTAAGTTTGATTCCCAGTTAACTCATCATATTTGAAGATTCTTTGGTTTTGTTCCATAATCACCCCAAACCTTTGAATTAATTTTCTGCAATTCACCTGAATCATGAGGCATCTCTAAAATAACTTTTCCTCCTTGGGCTATCAGGATGATGAAATGCCAAAATTGATTGCGGCGGCTCCCGAGCATACATTGGAGGCTGATCCAAATGAAGCCACAGCAGAAGAGCCACCAAATGAGAGCACAAAAACTGACAAGAGTGATAATGATGTGCCATTGATTCCTGATCTATTGGTATGCAGTTTTCTTATTATCTATATAGCTTTTTCTAGCCGTTTTAGTTCAGTAGTTCTATAAGTTGTAAAAAGAATTCCATTTTCTTTCTCAGAGCTGGGATGAGCCAAGTCAAGTAACATCTGAACCGGGTGCAGGAAGTACTCTTCCTCTTTCACTTGCTACACCAGGTAATTTTATTGTTCTATGTGTGTTAGAATCTATATATTTAGAATGCTCCACGCATCTGATTATGTTTGATAACTGCGTGTAGAAGGCGTTCTGGACCCCACTTTGAACACAGAGCTATCAAGTGAACCAGCTGGCTGGGAGCTTGCACTGGTGACAACACGGGTTTCAACATCAGCTGCACAAAATAAGGTAGATCAATTTCTTTGGAAATGGGCTTGAACTTTAGTTCATTTTAATCTAACGGAAACGGAAACTCGGAAATATCTTTATTCTGATTTGACATTGTTCATTTAGTAAATTCAAAGATTCTTATCGACTTACGATATTTGCTTAAAACATGAATACAAAAATAAGAATATATATATATATATATATATACATGTATATTTAAATTTGAAATCTTATGGCATAAATATAAGGTTTTGATATAATTTTTTTGTTTTGTCTCGCCGAATTTTTTTTGGGATTGGATGCAATTTTTTTAACTCCAAATCATCTATTCATCTAATCCAACTTTTTTCTTCTCAATAACATTGTTAAATAATAAAAACTAATCATTATTACACATTTTCTAACAAAATTCACAATTCATCCACTCACATCACGAACATCACGAGCAATTACCATTATTTTACTACTTTTATAATACATCATATATAATCATTACATTTTATCTCATGTTCATTTACTACCAAACTAATCCATTCTTCCACCCAATCAATTGTTTTCACTCATAATTAACTTTATCCAATCCATCAGAATTAACCCAAAAAAAAGAAATATTATATCCAATCAGCAATTTCTATAATCAATCCTCTTGATAAGCATGCTTAATTCTTTTGTTTGACCTAACAATATAATAATGCAGGGAGTTGCACTGGACAGATCAATGCTGGACAGCTTATACGATGCTGCAATGGCACAAAACAACACCAACGGACCTTCCCTGCAGAGGGCAGACGTCCCTTCCAACAATCCATTCGAATTTGATGATTATAGCACACAAATGTTTTACGACCCGACACAACCTAATCATTTGCAGTTAGCTGAAATCCCCCTAAAGCAGCAAGCACCACAGATCATAGGCCACGACTACATGCAAGTGATCGGAATTCCACTACAGCAGCAAGAAACGTCGCTCGTTGTCTACGACTCCAATCAGCAGCAGGAGCCATTGTTTGTCAACCAAAATCACGGCCACCAGCAAGGGACTCCCTTCGCAGGCCGAGATCTTATGCAAATGACAGATACACCCCTGCTGGACTCCCCCATGCAGCAGCAGGAGAAGGCAATTGTAGCTTTCGTGTCTACGGGTACCTCCCGGAACCCGTTTGACGAGCCGAGCTCGTTAACCTCCGCACCAAAATCTGAACTCTCCAATTTGAGCTTCATTTAAGGGAGAATTAACGTCCAATATTTTGGTGATTGAGACAGAGGCTTGTCGTGAATCTGATTTCGGTGGTGTCTAATGGAGTTTTCCTAAAATGAATAGTTTATGGTGAGATCAGAAAGCAAACCTGTATTTGTATAGTGATAGCTCACAAATGTTTATTGATTTTGACTATTTGATTCTTTCTTCTGTAAATGAAGAGATGTCAAAGTATACAAGTGCTTTTTGTACTACTTACAATTATGATGTAGTTTCTATACCATTCAATGACAGACTGCCTGATAGGGAACAACCGTAGACATACCCATTCGACCCAAAGGCTAGTATAATCGATAGACTCATTGAATATATCAACCCGGGTAACTTTTGTGGACTGGTGTGTCGACCCATGGAGGATATCGACCCAGGCACCTGTTGTAACACCCCGCTATGTCATAAGTATCAGAGTAAATTTTTGCAAAAATCTTTCTAACTAAAACGTATTAATTTGCGAAATCCTTATTGGAATGCTACTAAAAACCCTTTCGTATCCTAAAATCCGTTATCTTTATTTAAATTTAATTGTGAAGAAAAACGGATTATTTTAAATCAAACTAGCATGTAATATTTATATAAAACTCCGACCGACAACTCGGATCAAAACTGAAAACTCACATGCTAGTTGAAAAGTCATAAAGTGTCAGCGGAAGTCATACGTGGCAAAACATAAATGTACAATAATGCACAAATGGCAAGCAGCCAAATCCATGACCACGAACCACCGGCCAAGCTCACTCCTCTGGTCCAACTCTGTAACCTTAAAAACATAGAAATTGTGGGGCGTGAGCACTAAAAGCCACTATGCTCCGCAAGAACTCATACTAATGTAAACAACAGTAATAATTGCATCATCATGATCCTGGCATATACATAAACCTCAAATAGTACCCAGCGTACCGGTACCTCGTAACCATCACATAACCTCATAGCTTAGTTGAAGCATAGATGTACCTGCCGACACAATGTGCTGGACACCATGTGCACACTCTAGCGGGCAGATATAACCACTAGAACCCGGGATGGACATTACGGAGTTAACCACCATCCCAAGCAGATACCTCACATAACATGATACATACCTCAAACATGATAGCTGTAATTATCTTATTATAGTCAATGTAATACCCAGTCTGAGTTCCCACCTGAACTGCTGATATAAGTCGTAAGTACTGATATCCTCGAACGGTTTAAACTGTAACATATATAATCAAATACTAAGTACTATGCTCAGACTCATTAAAATAGCTGCTAAGATGCTCGACTTGATCTGATGACTTAACTGGATTTATTGACATGAACTAAGGCTTAACATAGAC